AGCACAGTCAGCAGCTGGAGGGGCTGCCCCCTTGCCCCCGAATGAGGAAGGACAGAGGTGGAGGAGCGCCAATCAGGCAGTAATGGTGTGGGGGCTCACGGCTGCTTTTTCTCCTTTAAAAATTAAAGAGTTTTATTACTGAGGGAAGGGGGCAGGTGGCTTGCGGGACCCTTGGGAGCTGTTGGTCACGGTCAGTGTCAGCGCCTGTGCTCGGGCACGTGGCTTTGTGCAGGAGAGCGGCTGCGCTGCACGGTGAGGAGCAGAAACGTGGTGCACGAGGGGGCTTCTGCCCAGCCGTGCTGCTTCCTCGCCCTGTGCCCTGGGATTTGGGACCTGGCCCCTACAACCCCCCTCTGCCTTCAGCCTGCGCTAGGCAGGCAGCGTGCTGAGCTCCGCAAACTTCCCAGGTTGCGAGTTAATCCTAAGCTCTGGTCCGTGACCATTTTGCTTCTGTGCTCTTTCTTGCTTTGCGATAACCCTGGACTCGCAGGCTCAGAAGAGGAGGTACAGCCCGGGAAATCAGGTACTTGCTCTTGCCAACCCACTCGTTTCCAAGCTCTTTGGCTTCGTCTCCTTTCCCCGTGAGGGAATTCCCTCATCCGAGCTCCAGAAATCCCCGTGCGAGCAGGGAGGCAGGCGTGGGAGCCACGGCTGACCCAGAGGAGGAAGGCTGGAGGGTGGCGAGGGATCGCGGTCAGCTGCTGAGCCCAATTTGGGGAGGCACAGACGGGGAGTGAAGGAGTTTGGGGTGCGCAGGGTGGCGCGGCTCTTCACCCCGCAGGTGTGTTGTGACGCTGGCACGGAGTGGGCAGAGCGGTGGGGGGGAGAGCCCCAAATTCACCCCCGGCCTTGCCCCCGCAGCGCGTCTTCCCCTACATCTCTGCCATGGTGAACAACGGCTCGCTCACCTACGACCACGACCGGGACGGGAGGCCGACCGAGCTGGGGGGCTGCACGGCCATGGTGCGCAACCTCAACCACGACACCTTCCTGGTGATCCGCTACGTCAAGAGGAGGCTGACGGTGGGTGAGGATGGCCGGGGCCGAGCGGGCAGCCCCCAGCCCCCCCCGGTGCTACCGCAGGCTCCTCTCCTTCAGGTGATGATTGACATCGATGGCAAGCACGAGTGGCGGGACTGCATCGACGTGCCGGGCGTGCGCTTGCCCCGCGGGTACTACTTTGGGACCTCCTCTGTCACTGGAGACCTGTCAGGTACCGCCACGGGGCCCTGAGTGCTGCTTCCCGAGCAGCTCTGGCAGGACTTAAGCAGCTTTGGGTGCTGGAGGTGTGGCTGGGTACATGGTGAGGCTCACGGATGTGCTCGAAATCTCCCTGTGCTTTAGGCACCCCCAGGCTGTGAGTGGGAGCCGTGGTTTTTCATCTTGGTGCAGTTCCCTAGGAGCCAAAACCCCGGTCTAGGTGTGCTGTGCCCCCGAGCACTTTGCTTGAGCTCCTTCTGCCGCTGGGTCAGGCTGACAGTGACACCCAGATGGTGACAGGGACACGGCCAGGCTTCAGCCAGCATCTCAGAGCAGAGAAACGTGAGGGTCCACCTCCAAAATGTGAGCCCTGGGAGGAGTAACACAGAGCAAGCACTGAAAATCTCCTCCTGTGCTCTCCTGGCTCAACCTGTAGTGGCTGGGCATGGCCCAAGGGCGGTGCTGGAGGTAGCTGCACCCCGGGGGTTAAAACACAGGGGTGCTGTGCTGCCTGTCCGGGTTTAGTTCACGTAGCACTTCGGATTTCCCAGCCCGAGAGTGATGTTGTTGAGGAGGGGACCAGCCAGGTGTGTCTGGAAGCAGTGGTGCAACCAGGGCTGAAGGAAATTGGGTTTTGCAGGGAGCCGAAGCCCTCTGCTTTGCTTTTCTCACTTCTTGCAGCGCTGCTTGGGGTGCCGGGAGGCCTGAAGTTACCCCGCTGTGTCTCTTTCAGCAGGTTTTAGCCCGATTTTGAGTTATGCCCCTACAAAAGCTCATTGATGGCCAGCGGCCGGGCCCATTGTTGGCTCCAACAAAAGTTCCTTTTCTTTCTCAGATCTCTGCCTAATGCCCTGGGAACTCGCAGGCTGGCGTGGAGCACTCTCCTTGTCCCACTAATAACTCGGCAGTCACGAGCAAAGGAAATAGGGGTCATGTGAGGCTGGTTCTAACACGCTCTTTTCGGGTGGCTGAATGCTTTGGGGTCAGATGATGTCCTGGCCTGGGCTGTTGGTTCTCGGTTTAAGTAGCTTAAAGCTTCCCCTTGGAAGTGCTGGAGGAGGGCCCCGTGCTGGGCGCAGCTTTCAGCCCAGCGTGGAGCCTGCCCCGAGAGGTGAGTTCTCCCCGTGGCAGGGGACAGCCGGTGGCCTGGGGCTGGTGCCCGAGTTGTAAGGTGCCGCGGTGCCACCGGTGGCACTCAAATTCCCAGCCCGAGCCGTGCCGGGCGGTGACACCTCAGGGCACGTCTCTGCTCTGCTTGCAGACAACCACGACATCATCTCGCTGAAGCTTTACCAGCTGACGGTGGAGCGGACGCCGGAGGAGGAGAAGCGGGACAGGGAGGTGTACCTGCCCGTGGTGGACAACCTGAAGCTGCCGGGCAGTAAGTGGGGGGCAGGAGGAAGGACAGGGGCAGGAGGAGCTGCGGGCTCACGGAGCAGAGAGCGCGGCGCCTCACCAGCAAACCAGCCGAGCTCCAGCTGGGATCGGGAGGCCCGTGCCCAGATTTCTCTCACCCACTGCGACACAATCTGGGTCACAACCTGCCCTCGTTTGGCACAGGCATGCTTGGAGGAGAAGTGCTGCCTTCCAGAGCGTGCCAGGCTACCCGTGGGCATGGCATCACCAACACGAGCTGCTGAAAACTCACAGGGGCTTGGACCCTGGTGGTGTTCACTCCTGCCCAGAAATGTCCCCCCCCAATGTGTCCGCTGGCTCTGTGACGAGGCTCTCACCAGCCAGAGCCTTGTTCCCAGCTACAGGAGCTCTTCCCACTGGTTTTGTGTCCTTCCAAACGAGCTCCCTGGAGGAATAACCTGTGGGCAAAGCAGTGGGAGGGTGGGGGTGAGCCGATTGCCCAGCTCACAGCCTTTCTTCCTTTTGTCTGGCAGTGGAGGCGCCGCTGGAGCCCATGAGCGGCCTGGCTCTCTTCTTAATCGTCTTCTTCTCCCTCGTTGCCATCGTCTTCGCCATCGTGATCGGAGTCATCGTCTACAACAAGTGGCAGGAGCAGAGCCGGAAACATTTCTATTGACTTGGGAGCCTGCCTGGGATGGCCCCCCCATAGCCACACCCTGGCCCCCATCCCAGGCTGGCCAGAGCCCGATGGACCTGGTCCCGCAGCGGGGCCCCCGGTGTCCCCAGAACCCCAGTGGGGATGGCCACCACTTGTCATCAGGCTCCAGGACCCCCCGATGTGAGCGGGGACCCCCAGCACAGCAGGGCTGGGGCCGGGTGCTGCGGGGACGGAGCCGCTGTGCCCTGAGGGCTTGCTGGGAGCAGGAGCCCCGCTCTGGGAGCTGTTTGGGGCTGGGCTGTGGGGTTCTGGCAGCGCCCAGCCGCCTCTCTGCTGTCCGGGGGACACAGAGGTCACCGCCTCGGCTGTGAAATCCCGGCTGAGAGCAACGCAGCGAGCAGAACCCAGCCAAGTGCCCTCGTTCCTCGCCAGGCTCCGACAGCAGCAGCCCCTCTGCAGCGGTTTCCTTTCCAGGAGGGGTTTGCCGAGCTGCTCATCCCCCCCAGGCTGCTTTTTAGGCCGTCTTTAGAGACCGGACTGCTTTCCCTTGGTTCCTTGAGCTCCCCCCACCACCGCACAACCCCTCCGTGTCCCTTCAGCCTCCCCCGGTTGGTGTTTTGGGGCTGCTGATGGATTTCCCCATCTCCGGCAGCTCGAGCTGCCGATCCCCCTTCCCACTGGGGGCTTAATCCCCTGCTCCCCTCTCTCACCACCCGTTTGCTGCTGCCTCCGGGGGCTCAGCCCCTCTCCCCCCTCCAGCATGCCGCTGCCCCCGCACGCCCCCCGCACCGGTGCTGTCTGCATGCCGTGTCGTGGCTTCGGCTCTCCCCAGGGCTCCTGCTCGCTGCGTCCCGACCCCACCGAGGAGGAGCCGAGCTGCGGGGGCCCCTCGGAGCCGTAGCTCCTGCCCTGCAGGGAGCCGTGGTTTATTCCTACCTCAGCGCCTTCTTGCTGTGTTTCTCTCACTGGCGGTCGCCAGAAGGAGCAGCACGGCCGGTTTTGCCCCCAAAAGCAGACCACATTGGGGGGACGAAAAGTTTTGTCCCCCGGAGACCACATCGAGCTCCCGTGGTCGCTTTCCCAGAGCAAGGGGTGGTGGCGGGGGGTCCCCAGAGGGACCCAGAATTGGGGAGAAATGAGGTCAGGTTGTCCCAGGAGCATCCCAGCACCTCTGGGCACATCCAGATGGCGAATCTCTGCAGCACCCTCCTTGCTGGGGCAGGGCTGGGAGCCGTGGCCTCTGCACCCCGCTGCTTCCCGGGTGCTTTCTGACCCTGGCCAGGTCCCAGCCCAGGGGAGTGGTGGTGGTTTTTTTTGTTTTTCTTTTTTTGTGAGCAACCACTGCTTTTTTGGCACAATGCTGCCGCCGAGGTAGGTGGAAGCTTTTTTTTAAGAAGTGCCCAGGCGTTCTCGTGGCCTGAAAGGACTATTTCTGGCGTTTTGCCTCTGTTTTTTTTTGCCTGATGACCAGGAGTGAAATGCGTGCACCTCTTCCCAGAGCTGTTACTGGTGTCTTGGAATAAATGTTGGTGTGTGTGACACGGCCGTGCTCCTGGAGGTGAAGCCAACAGAGTCAGGGGACGATGCTTTGCCCGTCACTTGAGTCCTGTTTTATTAAAGAGGTGACTTTGGGGGGGTGGCAGCCCCTTGGTGCTCCCCACACCCAGCGTCCTTGTGCCCTGGGGGTGTCCCCAAATCAGGGCTTGCCTGCAGCGTCGAAGGGATGCCAGCCTTGGAGAGGGTTCACCAGCTTCATGGCCAAGTAACCCTGCGGGGGGCAGAGAGGGGAGCTCAGGGGGGGCTCAGGGGCTGGCAGGGGGATGGATTGGGGGGGGCTGCGCTCACCGGTGCGGCGTAGATGAAGGTGAGGATGAGGGCGAGGAGCAGCAGCAGGGCCAGCCCCAGCACGATGCGGCAGCGGTGCCGCCGCCAGAGGCCGTAGCGCAGGCTGCGCAGCGGAGCCTGCAGCCACAGGAACGACCCCTCCGGCCTCCTGCAACGACACCCAGCTGGGGGCACCCGCTGCCACCCCCCTGCACCCTTTTTTTTGGGGGGTGGGGGCTCAACCCAGGGCCTTACAGGGGTGGCTGCAGGGCCGGGTACATGTTGGGCTCCTCTCGCCCTTTCCCTGCCGGCCGCTCCTCTGCCTCCTTGGCCTTCAGCAGCTCCAGGCTCAGCTCCAGCTTACCCTGAAGGGGGGGTGGATTTGGGAGGTGGGGGCCAGGATTTGTGCCCCCCTCTCATCGCCGCCCACCCTTTCCCCCCCCCATCCTGCCCTACCGACAGGCGCCGCTTGCCGCCCTCCTGCACCGTGCAGGGCCACCAGCCCTTCACCCGCTTCTGCCGAAAAAGGGAGAGGTGGGGGGGGCCCCGTGCCCCCCGCCAGGGCCAGCGGCTTGCCCGTGGCGTCAGGGCACAGTCCTCGGGGCGCCGGGCTGGCTGCGGCAGCCGGCTGAGCTCCAGCTCCAGGACACCTGCACAGGGAGGGAAAAAACAAAATGGGGGTGCCCCCGTCACCCATGGGTGCCCCCATCACCCGTGGGTGCCCACCTCCACCCCAGCAGGTGCTAGGCAGGGGGCTGGGGTCTCACCCAAAAAGTCATCGGCCGTGAACATGTCGTTGTCCCACACTTGGAGGATGAGCTTGGGGGGCAGCTTCTGCACCGTCTCGTCCAGGCTCCAAAAATGCTCCTAAACAGAGGGAAGGAAAGGGGGGGGGTCATGCCTGGTGCCCCCCCCCCAGCCCCGTGCCTGCCCCATGGAGACCCCAGCACCTTTCGGGGCAGGACGCAGAGCCGCTCGGCCGCCAGGTACTCGAAGGGGAAGACAAAGCGCCAGTTGAAGCTGCCGTCCCCTTGCAGCGAGCGGTAGTGCACGTCCGTCCTCTGCCTCTGCTCCTCCAGCCCGTCCAGCCACCTGCCGTGCCCCGGGGGGGACAGGACGTGGCTGCCACCCTTGTCCCCATCCCTGACACTGGCCCCCGCTGGTGGCTGAGGCTCACCCGGTGACATAGATGTCGCTCATCCTCTGCCCGGCCACGTTGGTGTCCCTCAGGTCCACGTCCCGCGTGTTCCACACCACGCAGCGCAGCTCGTACCTGGAGGGGGATGGGGACGGGGACGTGCCACCTCCCCCCCCACACAGCATGTCCCTGTCCCCCAGCAGGGTGCTCACCTCTGGGGCTTGCGGGGGGTGATGTCGACAGGGGGGCCGGGGGGGCCGAGGCTGGCAGGGAAGACGTCCACCCACATCTGCACCTTGCCCTGCACCGAGGGGCAGGGGGACACTGGTACCAGCACCCCTTGTCCCCTGTCCCCCCCCTGTCCCAAGGTGTCCCCAGTGTCCCTGCCACCTGCCCCCAGCATCCCCCCTTGGCCTGGGGTCCCTGTCACCCCAGGGTTCCCCTTATCCCCCCCAGCACCCAACCAAGTCGCCTGTGTCCCAGGTGCCTCTTTATGGCCCAGGGTCCCCGTCTTACCCCCGTGCCAGTGTCCCTGTCTGTCCCTGTCACCCCAGGGTCCCTGTTGTGCTCCCCAGCATCCCTTTATGTCCTAAAGTCCCCATCACCCTTGGGTCCCTCCCCACCCGTGTCCCCATCACCCCAGGGTCCCCATCGCCTCTCCTGCTTCAGCACCCCTCCCTGCCCAGGAGCCCCTGTCACCTCAGGGTCCTTGTCACCCCAGGGTGCCCACCATCCCCGCCACCATCCCTCTGTCCCCGCCGTCCTGGTGTCCCCACCTGCTCCAGCCCGGGCTGGGTGCTGTTGTAGAGCGTCCGCGTCTCGAGGTGCTCGGGGACAAGGTGACAGGCGCGGAGCACGTGCAGGGCCAGGCGCTCCCGGGGCGCCCCGGGGTGCCGGTGCGCGGGGGGGCCGCTCTCTGCAAGGCCGAGCCCTCGCACCACCGCAGGGGCCCCGTGACCCCTCCCCGGAACCCCCGGACCCCGACACCCACCGAAATGGCTGAGCAGGAAGGTGGAGCACCCGAAGGTGACGGCGGTGCCGTCGGCGCTGAATTCGGGTGCCGGCAGCCCTTGGGTGCGGGCGAAGTGCTCCAGAGCCCGGCTGGGGCTGAGCTGGTCCCTCCAGCGCCCGGGGCCAGCGCTGCGGGCATGGTGAAGGGGCTGGGGGCTGTGGTGTCCCCTCCCCAGCTCCCAGTGCCCCTTGTTGTGCCCACCCCATAGCCCTGAGCCCCCTGATCCCTTTATGCCCATCGTTGTGCCAGTCCCATCTCCCTGTGCCCACCCGATGCCCCTGTCCCCTCTCCCCTCGTGCCACTGGCAGCTCCCTGTGCCCATTCTGTCCCCCTGTGCCCACCCCACTCCCTTCCATGTGTCTGTGGGTCCCCCCCACCCCATCTCCCTGTCCCCAATTCCCCCATGCCCATCCCTGTGCCAGCCCCATCCTTGTCCCTCTGCACCCATCCCCTTGTACCCACCCTGTCCCCATCTCTGTGTGCCCACCCTGGTGCCCACCACCTCCCATCTCCTTGTACCCATGCCATGCTCACTGTCCCCAACTCCTGTCCCCAGCCCTGGGACCATCCCCATGTACCCCTTCATCCCCATCCCCTCGTGCTCACCCTCCTGTGCCCTCCCCATCTCCTTGTCCCTATCCCTTTGTCCCCATCTCATCTCCATCCCCTCTGCCCTCCCCATCTCCTTGTCCCTATCCCCATGTGCCCACCCAGTTGTGCCCTCCCCATCTCCTTGTCCCCATCCCCCCGTGCCCGCTCCCTCCCCATCTCCCAACACCCAACCCCACGTCCCTATCACCCCGTCCCCACCCCAGGTCCCAGTGCCCCCGTGCCGTGCCCATCCTGGGGCACCCACGTGCGGTACAGGCGGGGCAGCCCGCAGTGGGCGCGGAAGCGGGACAGCAGCCGGTTCTCCAGGTCGATGGTGGTGCTGCCGATCTCCTGGTCGGGTGGCAGCAGGTCGTAGTCCAGCAGTGAGACCCGCAGGTCCTTGTCCAGCGGGATGGTGCCCATCACCTCGAACATCCTGGCAGCACGGCGCCCTCAGCCCCAGGGACCGGCACCCGCAGGCATTGGGACACCCAAGGGCATGGGGACACCCAAGGGTATTGGGACCTACAGGCATGGATCTGCTAGCATGGGGACTTGGTGACATGATGGCCTGGTGGTATGGGGACCCACCAGCACGGGGAATGGGGACCTCCTGGCATGGGAAATGGGGATCTGGTGGCACAAGGGTGCACTGGCATGGGAAGTAGGGCAGGAGAATGGGGACCTAAACGCCTGGGGACCTGCTGGCCAAGGGACTTGATGGCACGGTGACCCATGGGCACTGGGAATGGGGCATCTGGTGGCACAGGGACCTGCTGGCACGAGGGGTAGGGATGTGGTGGCACAGGAGCCCTCCAGCATGAGGAACAGGGACCCAGAGACACAGAGACCTGCTGGCAGAGGGGCTGGGGACATGGTGGCACGGGGACCCGACAGCTTGGGGACCCAGTGGCACAGGGACCAAGTGGCACAAGGAATGGGGACCCACCAGCACGGACCCTCGTGGGACACCTCACCTCGGTGCCAGCCTGGTGCCACCCAGCAGTGGCAGTGCCACCAAGCCACCTGCGCTGGCCCTACCTACCTGCCGAAAACTGGCTCCACGGTGTTGGGCACGTACTGGTCCCGCTGGCCCAGTGTCTTCGCCCCCAGCGAGACGCGGACGTAGGGGTCACACTGGCAGCATCGGGGGGGACATCAGGGTGACCCAGGGGGACATGGGGTGCGGGGGACACGGGGGTGGCCTTACCAGCCCGTTCCGGTCACGAGGGGACAGGTCGAAGGCGCGGACGATGTAGACGCGCACCAGGCACTGCTGGGGCTGGCTGGGGGGCAGCTCCTGGAAGTGGCGCGGCGGGGGGGGCACCCCGGGGTCCTCGGGCAGGGGGTAGAGACGGAAAAGCCCCTGGAGGTGGGGGGGGAGAGCCTGGCTGTGCACCCCGAGGTGCCCTGGCCCCATGTTTGGGGTCCCCATGGGACGCCGGGGGCTCTCACCTTGAACTCGCCCACGGGCACGGGGTCCTCCCCGGCCCCCAGCGGCCCCCCCGGCTGGTAGAGGGGAAAGGTCTGGCAGAAATCCTGCAGCCCCTCGAATTCGGGCACCGCCTCCAGCTCGCAGCTGTAGACCTGGGGGCATGGAGGTGGCTGCTGGGGCTGGCCCTGTCCCCATCGCTGTCCTCGTCCTTGTCCCTATCCCCAGCTCAGCCCCGTCCCCGTCTTGGTGTTTCTCCCCACCCAGTCCCTGTCCCCTTCTTTGTTCCTGTCCCCATTCCCAGCCTTGTCCCTGTCCCCATCCCACCTTCCTTCCTCTCCCTGTCCTTGTCCTCATCTTGTCTTCATCCCTGTCCCCATCCCCAGCCTTGTCCCCATCCCACTGCCTTCTTCATCGCCGTCCCGTCTTTGTCTCCATCCTGTTCCTGTCCTCATCTCTTCTTCCTCCTTGTCCCCAGCCCAGTCCCTGTCCCCTCCCATCTTTATTCCTGTCCCCTCCCCACCTTTATTCCTGTCCCTGTCCTCGTCTTGTACTCATTCCTGTCCCCATCCCCATCCCTGTCTCCATCCCATCCCCTTCATCACTTTTCCTGCCCCTGTCCTTGTCCCCATCCTGTTCCCCTCCCAGTCTCTATCCCTGACTTCATCCCCCTGCTGTCTTCATCCCTGTCCCCATCTGAGTGTCCCCAACCGTCCCTGTCCCCATCCCCATCATTGTTCCCATTGCCACCTCATCTCTGCCCCAATCCTCTTCCCCACCCTCCTCCCCATCCTATTCCCGTCTCCATCCCTGTCCTTGCCCCCTGCCCCGGCTCACCTTGAGGCTGTCCCTGTGTGTCCCCCGGTGGCTCTTTGCAGTGTCCCCCATGGCCGCATAGAATTTGCTCCACCAGTCTCCCTCGTCCTCATCCTCTTCCTCCCTCTCCGCAGCCTGGTGGGGAGCAGGGTGAGGCGGGGAGGGGTGGCCCCGGTGCCCTTGGAGGCCCCGTTCCCGTGCCCACCTTGTCTGCAGCCCCCTTCTCAGCGGTGACCTTGGGCAGGATCTGCAGGGAGCGGAGGGGACGCCTGGGGAACGGGGGTGGGGGGCCGGGGACCCCGCTGTGGGGCCAGCGCTGCTGGGGCTGGGTGAGGGGGGGGACAGGAGGGGACTCACCTGAGCGATCCTGTCCCAGGCAGTGGCTGCGTGAGGAGAGGGGAAAGAAGTCATCCCAGAGAGGGGAAGGGATGGGGAGGGATGGGGAGGGATGGGGAGGGATGGGGAGGGATGGGAAAGGGATAAGAAAGAAGGGATGGGGAAGGAATAAGAAGGGATGAGAAGGGATGGAGAAGGGATGGGGAGGGATGGGAAGGGATGAGGAAAGGTTGGGGAAGGGATGGGAAGAGAGGCACAAAGGATGAGAAGGGAGGTTCCAGGGATAAGGAAGGGATAGGAAGGGAAGGGGAAGGGAAGGGGAAGGGGTGGGAAGCGATGGGAAGGGATGGGAAGGGGTAGGAAGGGATGGGGAAGAGATGGACAAGGGATGGGAAGGGATGGGGAAGGAAGGGATGGGATGGGAAAGGGAGGTACCAGGAATGGGGAAGGGGCTACCAGGGAGAGGGCAGGGATGGGCAGGGGGCTGCCAGGGATAGGCAGGGGCAGGCAGGGCTGTACCAGGACCAAGGCTCGCCAGGGGGGCACCGGGCCCGTGTGGCTGCCCCCCGCCGTGGGGCTGGCAGCAGAAGCGCCCCAGGCCCCGCACGCACGCCTGCCCCAGCTCGGGCCGGTACCCGAACCCCTGCGTGTCCAGCACCCGCAGCCGCAGGGGGGGCACGTACTCCTCCTCCGCCGGCAGGTGCTGGGGACAAACCTCGCCGTCACCCCCGGTGCCGCCGGCAGCACCCCCAGGTGGGCTGCCCCCCCCCGGCCCCCCCCCTGGCCCTGTGCCCTCACCAGCGGCAGCAGGAAGGCGTTGATGGGGAAGTTGGGGTTGGCGGCGAGGTCGGCGATGGGGGGCGTGCGCAGGACCTGGCCCCCGCACTGCACCTCCAGGCTGGGGGCGCGCACGGGCAGGGGGAAGCGGCCGCGCAGCCCCCGCAGCCCCCACGCCAGCACCTGCGGGGGCCCGCGTGGCTCCTGTCACCCCCCGGCATCCGTTCACCCCCTGCCCTTGTCATTGTCCCGTCTCCATCCTTTTCTTTATCCCTGTCCTTGTCCCCGATCCCATCTCCTTCATCGCTGCCCCATCCCTTCTCAGTCTCCATCCCTGACCTTGTCCCCATCCCGTTTCCATTTCCATGTCCCATTCCTGTTTCCCCACCCCGTCCTGATCTTGTCCCAGTCCTGTGTCCATCCCAGTTCCCATCCCATCCCCAACCCATCCCCATCCCAGTTCCTGTCCCAGTTCCCGTCCCATCTCCATCCCTGACCCCATCCCACCCCCATCCCACCCCCATCCCATCCCCATCCCATCCCCATCCCTGTCCCCATCCTGTCCCCATCCCTGCCCTGTCCTCACCCACATCCTTGTCCCCAGCCACCCCGTTCCCCCTCAGACCTCCTCCCCACCCCACCTCCCTCCCTGTCCCCATCCCTATCCCCGTCCCCGGGGTCACCTCGAGTGCCACCAGCCGCAGCAGGGGCCGGATGCCCAGGGGGACGCTGAAGGTGCCGTCCCTCCACGGGGGGGTGCTGAGCTGCGCCAGGGCCCCCTCCTGATGGGGTTGGGGGGCACAAGAACAATGGGGACAGGTTCCAGGTACCCCCTTGCCTCCCCCCCGCTCACCCCTCACCTCAGCCTCGTGCAGCAGCTCGAAGGCAGCCAGCAGCTCCCCCGCCGGCCCCCCCGGCCCCTCCAGCGGGTAACGTCGCAGCCGGGGGGGCTGCCGGCCCCCCAGATCCAGCCACACATGCGGGGTGCACACACACCGCCCCAGCAAGCTGCCAGCACCCTGCAAGACAAAGCCAGGGCGTGGGTGCCCCCCACCCATTGGTGCCCCGCACCCATGGGTGCCTCCCCCCCCCACCGTACCTCTCCTTCTTTGTCAAACACCTCCACCACCACGGCTGGGGGCTCGTCACGGACCCCCCGGGGGTCCCCATAAAGCAGCACCCGGTGGAAGAGCAGCGCCTGGTCCCAGCGCGGGTCCAGGGTGCGGGCGAGCACCCGGGTGCTCTGGCTGACGTGCACGAAGGACACGTGGGCGACGGGGTCTGTGGGGGCAGCACCCACCATCAGCACCCCAGGGTGCCTGCTGGGGGGGTCCGGAGTGCCGGGGAGGGGGGGGGTCCCACCTGCAGTGGTCTTGGTGCCGTGGGGCACCAGCTCCAGCGCCTGGAAGAGGTAGCAGCGCAGCTGGAAGTAGCTGGGCCCTGTGGGAGAGGCAGGGGGTGGCAGGGGGTCCTGTAACCCCCCCCGGGACCCTCCCCTCCTGGCACCCTGGGGCTCACGCTGGAAGGTGCAGAGGATGAGGGGCATGGGCTGCTGCAGGCGCCCCCGGCCCCCGGCCCCTGATGCTGGCTGCTCGCCCTCCGGCACCGCCGCCTCCGTGCCCTGCGGGGTTGGGATGTGGGGCAGGGGGTCAGCCTGCCCCTGCTGCCCCCATGTCCCCCTGTCCCTGCATCCCAACGTCCCTGGGTGCTGCTCTCTCCATATCCCGGTATCTCCACGTTCCCTTCTCCCTGCACCCCCCATCCATGAATTCCTCTCTCCCTCCATCCCGTCTTCCCATTGTCCATCCCTCTGTCCCCCCTCCCTCCATCCGTTTGTCCCTACACCCCTGTCCCTCTGTCCCTACACCCCTGTCCCTCCATTTCTCCGTCCCTGCATCCCTCTGTTCCTCCCTTGTTCCCTCCCTTTTACCTGTCCCCCCATCCCTGTGTCCATCCCTCTGTATCTCCATCCATCCATCACCCCATCCCTTTCCCCTTTTTTCTCTCCCTCCACCCCCCCCCCCCTCACAGCCCCCTCCCCAGCACCCCGTCCCCATTGCCCCCTCCCCAGCTCCCCCTTCCCGTGCCGGCGGCCGGGCACTGCGGTACCGGGGAGCCCTCGAGGAGGAAGAGGGGGGCCACGGACGGGGGCTGCAATGGCACCATGCGCCGGTGCCAGCAGCGCCGCCGGCACAGGTCCCCAGCGCGGGGCCGCAGGTGGAAGCGGCAGCCCCACAGGGTCGCGTACTCCCACGCCTCGTCCGCTGCCGGCGCTTCGGGGCTGTGCTGTGGGGACACGAGGCATGCAGGGGACGGTGGCACGGGGAGCGGGTGGGGATGCTCAAGGCACTGGTGGCCAAAGGCTCGTCCCCGCCACCTCGTCCCTGCCACCTCCTTGCTGTCATCCCCATCCTGTCACCCCCATCCCTGCCACCCCCATCCCCACCACCCCAACCTCAGCACCCCCAACCTTGCAACCCCATTCCTGGCACCCTCTTACCTGCCACCCTGTCCCGGCCACCCCATCCTTGTCACCCCCATCTCATCACCCCCATCCTTGCCACCTTGTCCCTGCCACCCCGTCCTTGTCACCCCCATCTCATCACCCCCCTCCTTGCCACCTTGTCCCTGCCACCCCCATCCCTGCCACCCCATCCCTGCTACCCCACCCCTACTATCTCCACCCTGTGACCCCATCCCTGCCACCCCCATCCCTGTCACCCCGTCCCCGCCGCCCCAACCAGCTGGAGGAAGGTGGCCACGTCCTGCTCCTGTCCCTGGGTGCCAGGCTCCCTGCGGCGGGTGCGCAGCCAGCGCCGGCGCCGGTGCGTGTGGTACATCTTCTCAGCAGGGTGCCACGCCAGCGGGGGGCTGCCGGGTGCCGTGCTCGCCCCATATTCCCAGCCTGTGCCAGCCGGGTGTCCTTGTCACCTCTGCCACCACCACCCTCCCCACGGTACCCGCTGGGGACGCTCGCTCACCGGCCTCATCCACGGCCCCCGCCATGTCCACCCGCCAGCTGTCGGTGATGTGCCAGCCTTGGGGACAAGCCACCTCCTCCTTGGGGGGCACCGCCGCACCGGCCTGCATCGGGTGGGAGCTGAGCCATGGCACGATGGTGCCACCCCACTGGTGGCATCTCCAGTGTCCCTGTGTCACCCCTCACTCACGGCATCGGTGTTGGCTACGGCGGCAGGTCCCCAGTCCCCGCCGGGCTGCCGGCTCTCGTTCTCGTACACCTCCTCCAGCACCTCGCCTAGGTTGGCCTCGGCGTCCAGCAGCAGCCTGGGGACAGGGACAAGCTGCTATCACCTCCCTGTCCCCTCCAGCTCAGCGCAGGGTCCCCAGGGTGCTCACCGCCGCTGTGGCTCCACGGCCCAGGGTCCGTCCCAGCGCCAGCCCTTGGGGGGCCGGATGCGGTGGCGGGGCAGCCCCGCTTTGCCGGTGATGTCGGAGAAGCCGGGGCGCCCCGGCAGCCCCCTCCCGCTCCACTTGCCCAGGAGCTTTGTCTGGTTTTCGTACTGCAGCGAGACCAGGGTGGGGGGCTCAGGGGGACGTCGGGGATGTCCCGGTGTCACTGTGTCACCGTGTCCCTCCCGGTGCTCACCGTCTCGGCATAGATGTGCAGGGTGCCCTCCAGGCACCGCGGCAGGTCCCGGCTCTCGGCCACGCGCCCCAGCCACAGCCGGACACGGAGCTGGGCGTGGATGTGGCCCGAGGCCTGGGGGACATGGGGGGACGTGGGGGACATGGGACTTAGGGGAGATGTGGGGGGATATTGGGGACATGGAAGACAGGGGGGTTGTGGAGGGTATGGGGGATGTGGGAGACATGGGGGCACATGGGGGACGTGGGGGGATATGGGGGTGTCCGGGACATGGAAGACGTGGTGGGGACATGGGAGTTGTGGACAGACATGGGGGACATGGGGGACATGGATGGGGCACAGAGGGAACAGGGAGGGGACATGGAGGAGACACAGAGGGGACAGGAGGGGCACGGAGGGGATGTGGAGGGGACACAGAGGGGACACAAAGGCAGCATGGAGAGGACATGGAGGGGACATAGATGGGACTGGAGGGGAAGTGAAAGTGACATGGAGGTGACATTGATGAGACAGGGAGTGACACAGATGGATGTGAAAGTGACCGGGAGGTGACATTGATGGGACACTGAGGGGACACGGAGGGGATGTGGAAGTGACATGAAGGTGGCACTGGTGGGACACAGAGGAGACACACGGAGGGGACACAGAGGGAACACGGGGGGGGATGTGGGACACCCATGCTGCCCCCTACCCCCAAGAAGAGGGTCTGGGTCCGGCCGCAGAGCCTCCCGCAGGCGGCACGGCCACGGGGCGAGAACACCAGGCAGTGTGCGGGGACGCGGGCGCAGGCCACCCGCCGCGGCCCGCTCAGCAGCCACAGCAGCACGTCGGGGACACCGGCCTGTGGCTGAGGACGGGACAGGGCTGAGGGCAAAGCCCCAGGGCCGGGCACCGGAGAGGGGCCTGGAATTCGGGGCCTTCCCCTCACCTCGGCCGCCAGCGCGGCCACGCGGCCTAGCCAGGCCTCGGCCTGTGGTAGCAGCGCGGCCCAGCCGCCATGGGGGGGGCTGGTGGTCGCTGAGGCGGCCATGAGGCGCAGGAGGTGCAGGCGGGCGGCACGCAGCTCCGCGTCCAGCGGCGTCTTGGGGAGCTGCGCCTCCAGCACCTGCAGCGCCACTCTGCGGGATTGGGGACACCGGGATGGGGACAGCGGGGGGCACACCGGGGGTGCTTGCCCACGGAACTGCCTCGTTTTGCACCAAAATGCCACGTTTCTAGCCCAGAAGTGTGCTGGTTTACAACAGAATTGTCACTTTTCCACCCCAGAGATGTCACTTTTCCACCCCAGAGATGTCGTTTCCTCCTAAAATGTTCCATTTACACCCCAGAAGTGCCTGATTTTCCCCCAGATATGCCCCATTTCCATCCAGGTACGCCCCATTTCCTCCCCCGAGTGTCCCAGTTTCCCTTAAAAATGTCCTATTTCAACCTCAAATGTCCTATGTCCACCCCAGAAGTTCCCCATATTCTCCCAGAAATACCCTTTTTACCCACAGATATGCCCCGTTTCCCCCCACATGGCTCATTTCTACCCCAGAAATTCCCTTTTTTTTTTCCCGGATATGCCCCATTTCCCCCTAAAATGCCCCATTTCCCCTGCCCCAGAATTGTCCCGTTTCCCCTCAAATGCCCCATCTTCACCCCAAAATGCTCCATTTACCCGTAGATATGCCCCATTTTCCCCCATATGTCCCATTTCCACCCCAGAAATTCCCTATATTCTTCCCAATGCCCCATTTCCCTCCAAAATACACATTTTGTCCCCAAAGCACCCCATTTTTATCCCCAACTGACCCACTTTTTCCCTTCAAGCCCCATTTCCCCCCCCAAATTGCCCCAGTGCAGCTCAGCAGGTGCTGGGTTCCCCTCCACGTCCCACCACCAGCACCCTGGTGGCTGCTGGGGGGCTGCAGGTGGGGATATCTCAGGGGTGCTACGCCCTGGGGGACCCGTGGGCCACCCATGGGTGCTCACCTGCAGTCCCGCGCCAGCTCCCGGAGCAGCCTCCTCCCGGCGTCCCCGCAGGTGGCTGTCCCCGCGTCCCGCAGCGCGGCCACGTTTCCCTCCTGTGGAGCTCACCGCTGCCCAAAAACTGCCTGCTCTGGGTGCTTGCCCCCCGCCGCCCCCACCCATGGGTGCTCACCAGCCTCTGGGCCATGTTCTGCAGCAGGTTCGTGGCGTCCCAACGGTGGCCGGCGTCCTCCCAAATGGAGGTGACGGCCACCACCGGCTTGGCGTCGTACCAGGGCAAGTAGTGGTAGCGATTGCCTGTGTCCGCAGCGGGATCAGCACCCCCGTGGTGACCCGGGAGGGGGACAGGGGGGGACAGGGTGTCCCCTGCACTCACCGTCAAAGAGGGGGTGTCCGTGGGGGGTGGTGGAGGCAGCGGGGCGGCACGTGGGGTCACCGGTGTCCCCGTAGTTGCCGATGCTGAGCTCGAAGCGCAGCAGCTCGGGCGCAGGTGCCAGCATGGTGGCCGAGTAAAACACCCCGCACAGCCCGAAGCGGCGGCGCCGGGGCAGGAGGCGCTGGGGATAGAAAAGCCAAAATGCCTCAGATAATTCTGGCCATTATTGTCATTAAAAAGAAAAAGCCCCGGTGGTGGCATGGCACCGTGTCCCCACCTGCACGCGGGCAACATCCTCGGAGGCGATGGTGTCCTGCTGGCGCCCGTCTGGGCTCCTGGTGTGGGTGCTGAGCTCCAGCAGCACCCGGCCCCGGTACGCAACCCCGGTGTCCTGCAAAATAAAGGGGGGGGGGGGACAGCTGGGGGCTGGTGTCCCCTCCCCAGTATGGGGGCTGTCTCCCCCCTGCTGCACTCACGCTGGGGGTGCTGGGTGTCCTGGCAGGATCCAGCCGGGGGCCGTAGAAGGGGAGGAAGCTGGGTCCAAAGCAGGGTAAGAAGCCAGAGACCCCCCCTGGGAGCAAAAAAAGGGGGGTTCAGTGAAGGGGACGGGGTGCTTGGGACCCCCCCAAGGTTGGACCCTGCTCACCTTGAAGCTCGGCGCCAGCGGAGGAGATCTGGGAGAGGTGCAGGGTGGCGGTGCCCAGGACCTTGGCGTGGGACCTGCAGGTGGGCAGTGATGGGTGGGGGGTGATGCCGGGGGCCCCCCCCAAATTGGGGAGCACCCCACTTACCCGCTGACGATGGCCAGCTCGATGGCATCACAGACGGGAGGCAGCTGCCAGGTGGCAAAATATTGGGGGGAGAGGAGGGCGTTAATTAGTAGGGGTTTTAATGGGGGTCCCCACCCGGGGGGGGCGCAGGGGGCACCTCACCCGCAGCGGGAAGAAGAGCACCTCGTTCCATGCAGGGTTGGCATCGGGGGGCATCACCCGGGTGCAGAGCTGGGGGGGGGACACAGCCGTCATCCCCCGCCCACTGCCAGCACCCATGGGTGCTCCCCGCCACCCACCGTCCTGCCGGCGAAGCTGGCTCGCACCGCCGCCGCCACGAAGCCCCGCTTGCCGCCGGCCGGTAACACCGACGGGAGGTGCGACCGGGTCGGTTCCTCTGCACCAGGGAGGGAGGACAAATGGGTACGGGGACACCCAGTGTCCCCAGTGTCCCCCATCCCTGTGACGCACCCTGGGGCAGGTCCTCGGCGCGGTAGACGTGGAGCTGGAGCGTGGCCACGCACGGGGTGAGCGGCGAAGGCTGCAGGAGGTTGGCTTCCACCTCCTTGCTCCCCGCCGGTTCCTCCGGCTCCTGGAGTGGGGGGCAAAAATAACCCGAAATCAAAAATTAAAAAAAATCACGGGTGCGCCCCAGGGGGGGTCTCAGGGTGCTGGGTGGGGTGCTCACCGCCGCGGTCTCGCCGGCGCGGAGGACAGCCAGGCTGACGCGGAGGTAGCCGCAGGATCCGGCCTCGGGGCGCCGGGGGTGCTGCAGGCTCAGCCACTTCCAGCTCAGCCTGCGACCTGCCGCGGGGACACCCGTGTCACCCCCTCGGGGTGTGGTGACACCCCATGGGCACCCACTGCCCCACGGGGGGGGCTCACCTACCGGGCGCGTTGTAGATGGTGCCGACATCCAGCTGCGGGAAAGCAAAAAGGGAGGAAAATGGCTAAAATGGGGTTTTTCACCCCGTTTCCCTGCTGCCACCCTCACCTTGAAGGCTCCGATGGTGGCCTCGGCACGGACGGCCCGGGAGTTGAGCACCTGTGGGGTTGGGGACAATGTCAGCGGCCACCCCATTGTCACCGTCCCCGCAGGTGCCACTGGCCCCAACCTGGATGTGGATGGGCACTGCTGCCAGCTGGATGGGCGTTTGGTGGAAATGCTGGGAAAACACCTAGAATTGGGCAAAACTGTGAGCGCGGTGGCGGGCGGGAGGGGGACACCGGCGGGTCCCCGTCCCCTGGGGCCACCTCGTTGTAGTAGGGGTTGTTCCCCGTGCGGATCCTGGTCCTGAAGCGGTGCTCGCCGATGAGGACCGTCACCACCGGCTTGATGTCATCGCCCTGCAGCTGGTGGCCCTCGATCACCCTCACCCGCACCTACGGGACACGTGGGGACACGGTGGCCACTGTTTGGGACAGCGCCCCGGGTGCCACCGCACCCTTGGGTGCCCTACCTGGAAATCCTCCTTCCTCCCCGCCGCGGGCTTAGCGTGGTGGCGCGGTGGCCCCGGTGGCACCCCGATGGCTGTCCCCACCGCCGGGGAGAGGCATGGGGGGGACAGGCGGGGTGCCACCCATCCCTGCTGGTGTGGCACGGTGTCCCCTGCTGCCACCTGGCCGCGGGGGACGTAGGAGCAGCGGACAGTGACAGTGGCCCCCGTGGGACGTCCCCGAGGGTCCAGCAGTGGGAGGTGGCTGAGGGCGAGAGGCAGCCCGGGCTCCTCTGCCAGCCGGCCCAGTGGCACTGTGGTGGCACCCAGGTCCCTGCAGGGGACAGGGATGGTGAGCACGGCCACCCTGGGGACAGCACCCTGCGGTGCCCACCCATGGGTGCCACTCACCCCTGGGGTGCTGGCTGGCCCCAGTGCCGGAGGCGCAGGACCAGGCTGGCTGAGGGACGCAGGGGACGCACGCCCAGCGGCCACACCAGTGTCTGCGGGGCAGGTGACAGCAGTCAGCAGGGTGGCACGAGTGTCCCTGTGCCACTGCTGGCTGTCCCCGTGCCACGTCACCTCATTCCAGGTGGGGTTGCGCTCTGCTGGCACCACCCGGGTGCTCCTGGGGACACCTGCGGGGGGACAGGAGGGATGGTGGCAGCACCCTGGGTTGGGGACGTTGGGGTGACACTACCCCTGTCCCATCACATGAGGATGGTCGATGCCATCCCACCCTGTGACAATGACAGATGCCATCCCGTCCCACGAGGATGGCCAACCCATCTCCTGGGGACGGCCACCGCGGTGTCCCCCTGTCCCCCGGTACCTCTGAAGCGGGCGGACACGTGCACACCGGGCCCGGCGCCCGTGGCTGCGGGGATGTGGGCGCTGGCCACCAGCAGCCGCAGCATGGCCGTGTCCCCATGCTGTCCCCGTGTCGTCCCCATGCTGTGTCCCTGTGCTGTCCCCGTGTCACCGAGTGGCTGTCACCATGGCGCTGCCACCGGGCTGTGTTCCATAACGGCACCAGATGCAGGGACACTGCTGCTGTCGGTGAGTGTCCCCTGTCACCAGGTACCTCTGTCACCATGCACCCGTGTCACCCTGTGCCCTGTCCATGCGTGGCCGTGTCACTGTGCTGTGTCCCTTTCTGTGTGTCCCCGTGTCCCTGCGTCACGGTGTAACCCGTCTGTGCGTACCTGTGCCACCGTGTCCCTGTGTCCCCATGTCCGTGTCCCCACATCCACGTGTCCCCACATCGCTGTGTGCCCATGTCCATACGTCCCTGTGTCCCCATGTCTTAGTGTCCCATGTCACCGAGTCCATGTGCCCCGTGTCACTGCATCCCCATGTCCGTGTCCCCATGTCCCTACGTGCGTGTGCCCCCTGTCACTCCGTGCCTCTGTGTGTCCTCATGCTCACGTGTCCCCATGTCTGTGTGTCCCTGTGTCCCTACGTCCATGTGCCCCATGTCCCCATGTCCCCATATCCTTGTCTGCACATCCACATGCCCCAAGCCACCGTGTCCCCACGTCCCCTTGTCACTGTGTCCCCCCATCCATGTGCCCCACACCAGTGCACCCCCATGTCCTGTCCTCGTGTCCCCACCTCCCCATACCCCTATCCCCACATCCACGTGTCCCCATGTCCTTGTGTCCCCATGTCCCCATGTCCCTGTATCCCCATGTCCCTGTATCCCCATGTCCTTGTGTCCCCATGTCCTTGTGTCCCCATGTCCTCGTGTCCCCATGTCCTCGTGTCCCCATGTCCCCATGTCCCTGTGTCCCTGTGTCCCCATGTCAATGTGTCCCCATGTCCCTGTGTCCCTGTGTCCCCATGTCCTCGTGTCCCCATGTCCTTGTGTCCCCATGTCCCCATGTCCTTGTGTCCCCATGTCCTCGTGTCCCCATGTCCCTGTATCCCCATGTCCTCGTGTCCCCATGTCCTTGTGTCCCCATGTCCCCATGTCCTTGTGTCCCCATGTCCCCATGTCCTTGTGTCCCCATGTCCTCGTGTCCCCATGTCCCTGTATCCCCATGTCCTCGTGTCCCCATGTCCTTGTGTCCCCATGTCCCCATGTCCTTGTGTCCCCATGTCCCCGTGTCCCCATGTCAATGTGTCCCCATGTCCCCATGTCCTTGTGTCCCCATGTCCCCATGTCCTTGTGTCCCCATGTCCCCGTGTCCCCATGTCAATGTGTCCCCATGTCCCCATGTCCTTGTGTCCCCATGTCCCCGTGTCCCCATGTCAATGTGTCCCCATGTCCCCATGTCCTTGTGTCCCCATGTCCCCATGTCCTTGTGTCCCCATGTCCTCGTGTCCCCATGTCCCTGTGTCCCCATGTCCTCGTGTCCCCATGTCCTTGTGTCCCCATGTCCCCATGTCCTTGTGTCCCCATGTCCTCGTGTCCCCATGTCCCTGTGTCCCTGTATCCCCATGTCCCCATGTCCCCATGTCCCTGTATCCCCATGTCCTCGTGTCCCCATGTCCCTGTATCCCCATGTCCTCGTGTCCCCATGTCCTTGTGTCCCCATGTCCCCATGTCCTTGTGTCCCCATGTCCCCGTGTCCCCATGTCAATGTGTCCCCATGTCCCCATGTCCTTGTGTCCCCATGTCCCCATGTCCTTGTGTCCCCATGTCCCCGTGTCCCCATGTCAATGTGTCCCCATGTCCCCATGTCCTCGTGTCCCCATGTCCCTGTGTCCCTGTATCCCCATGTCCTCGTGTCCCCATGTCCCTGTATCCCCATGTCCTCGTGTCCCCATGTCAATGTGTCCCCATGTCCCCATGTCCTTGTGTCCCCATGTCCTCGTGTCCCCATGTCCTCATGTCCCCATGTCCCTGTGTCCCCACGTCCCACGCCACCTCACCCCATGTCCCCACATCCCCACCCCGTTGTGTCCCCACTTCCATGCCCCCACATCCCATATCCTTGTGCTCCCACATCCCTGTACCCCAAGCCACCTCCCCCTTGTGTCCCCACCCCCTTGTGTCCCCCCCGTGTCCCCACCCCCATGTCCCCCCCATCCCATCCCATCCCCTCCCGTCCCGTCCCGTCCCGTCCCGTTCCGCACTCCGCTCTCCAGCCCCGCCCCGCCCCGCTCCGCTCCGGGTACTCCACTCTCCGCACTTTCCCTCCCGCCTCCCCCCGCGCATGCGCCGTCTCCTCAGGGGAGGGGAGGGGGATGCGCCTCCCGAGGGCTGCGCATGCGCAGTTCGTGAGGGGCGGGAGGGGGAGGGGGGGCGGCGCGGCCATGGCGCAGCGCGACCGCGACCGGGAGCGCGATCGCGATCGGGACCGGGACCGCGACCGCGACCGGGACCGAGAGCTGCAATGGTCGGCGCGGAGGATGGGGACGTCGCTGCTGCTGCAGCTGTCGGCCCACGAGCGGGAGCTGGACCTGGTGTGCCTGGACCACAGCTACGCCAAGCCCTGGAGCGCCCACCCCGACGCCAGCGCCGCCCGGCCCGCGAGGATGCTCTTCCTGCCCCCCAGGAGGAGCCCCGGCAGCGCCCTGTGAGCGGGGGAGGGCTGGGGAGGGGCCGGGGGGGGGCTGGGGGGGGGTGGGGAAGGGTCGGGGGGGCTGGGGAGGGAGGGGGGGAGGGAAAAAGGGGGGGGGCAGGGGGTGGGGGGGGGCTGGGGGGTGTGAGGGAGGGCCTGGGGGGGTGGGAGGGGAAATTGGGGGGGTTGGGGGATGGGGGGGGGCTTCTGAGGGGGCTGGGAGGGGAAAAGGGGGGAGGTGGGGGGGCTGAGGGGGCTGGGAGGGGTGGAGGGGGCTGGGGGCTGCCAAAGGGGGGCATGGGGTGGGGGCTGAGGGGAAGGGGGGGGGGGTGAAGTGTGGGGGGCTGGGGGGGCTGGGAGGAGGGGCCTGGAGGGGCTTCTGAGGGGAAAGGGGGGCGGTCTGTGGGGTTTGGGGGGGTTGTGAGGGGCTGTAAGGGGTTGTGAGGCTGTGAGGAGGGGCTGGGGGGGTTCTGAGGGGCAGGGAGGGGCTGTGGGAGTGGAGGGGCTGGAAGGTCCTTGGGAAGTGTCCTGGTGGGGTTTGTGAGGGGAAAATGTGGGGTGTGTGGGATTTGGGGGGGCTGAGGGGTCGGTGAGAGGTTGTAGGGGGCTGGGGGTCTCTGAGGAGGGGCCTGGGGTGGCTTCTGAGCAGAAACTGTGGGGTCTGTTTGGGGCTGGGGGGCCTGTGAGGGGTTGGAGGGGGCTGAGGGGCTTGTGAGGAGGGTCTTGGGGTAGGTCATGAGGGGAAAGTGTGGGGTCTGTGGGGTTTGGGGGGCTGCGGGGCTTATGAGGGGGTGTAGAGGCCTGGGGGTATTTAAGGAGAGGTTTAGGGTGGCTTCTGAGGGGAAAGTGTAGGGTCTGTGGAGTAAGGGGGTGTCTTGGGGGGCTGTGAGGGGAGAGGATGGGGCTGGGGGGGGCTGTATAGGGCCTGGGAGTATGGGGAGGGGGCTGGGTGTGGGCTGGGGAGCTTTTTGGGTGTCTGGGAGCCTGTGGGGCTGAGGGGACGGTGGAATGTGAGGCAGAGCCTGGGGAATGTGGGTTGGGGGGGCTCTGGAGGAGGTCCTGGGCTCTGCGGTGGGGACCATGGGGCCGAAGGAAGGTCTGGGGGCTGCAGCAGGGCCTGGAGGGGGTCAGGACGTTCACACAGCTTACACAGCTCCTGCTGCCGGGCTCTGCGAGACATGGCCGGGCTCAGGCCCCCAGCTGGCTGCAGATCCTTTCTCATTTTCCCAGCCTAGCAGACCCCGTTCTCTAACACGTGTTTTTTTTCCCCTCGCAGCGAGGCAGATGTCCCCATCGACGTCGAGACGGTGACGCCCACGCCCGTGCCGCTGTACGACAACCAGAAGGCGCGCAGCGTGATGAACGAGTGCGAGCGCCACGTCATGTTCGCCCGCACGGACGCGGACGCCCCTCCGCCGCCGGATGACTGGGAGGAACACGTCAACAGGTAGCTGGGACCCGCTGGGACATCAAACGGGGGCTCAGAACAACCCCACGCTGCCCAGTGTGGGATTTTTAGTGTGATGTAAGGCGTGGTGACGTTCCCGAACCGAGCAATGTTCGAAGAAAGTGAATTGTTCTGTCCAAATTCTTTGTTTGCCTGCTGTAGAAGCTGTTAGGTTTAATGGTAGAGGCTGGCCCAGCTGCTGAAGCTCCTGCACGCTTCGTGTGCCGCTGTCCCCTCTCTTTGGAGGAGCTTGGGACAGTGACAGCTTTGTCCCCAGCTCAGCCTTATTCCAGTGTTGAGGACTAGAAAGGAGGACGTGTGTAAATTTCCCCGCCCCATAACCTTACCTGTGACTGTTGTGAGTCAAGTCGTAGGAGCAGTAATTTTGAGCGATAGGGAGATAACCTTTGCTAAAAGGAACAATTATTTTAGTCTTATTTATTGTTTCTGTTGTTCTAATGCTTGGATGTTCAGCGGTACGCCCTGGTGACACGTACAATCTCAGTGGTTTTTGTTGAGCAGTCTTTTAACTTAAATCCTCGCTAGCAAAACTTGCTTTTTCCATAGCTGTAAGCAGGTTCTGGAGGTGCAGCTGATGCCCGGCTGTGCCTGCTCACCGGACCCAGATGCCTGTGTCCAACGTCCAATCTTTGGTTTTCTCCCCAGGACGGGTTGGACAATGGCTCAGAACAAGCTATTTAACAAGATCCACAAAGCGCTGCAGTCCGACAGGCTGGCGCGCTTGGCCAACGAAGGGGTAAGATCTTCTACTCCCTGCTGCTCTTTCACCTTCCAGCGGATTCATTGCCTGGTTTTAGTCCCCCTTAGCAAAGTGACTTGGTCAAGACAAAAGTCTTTGCTCTAGGGTTCTGTGGTCTTAAGAGACACGCAGCTCTGGACTTGTTTGAGGCGGGATTTTGTCCTCGCTGGGAGGCTGTTGGTCCTTGCTTGTTGCCAGAGG